ACACAATTGTGTGTGTGCACGTGTGGTGTGTTGGGTGACCTTCTAGGAGATGATCTTGGGCTGTAAAGCTCTTCCTTCCTTCCCTGGAGGGGTGTGGCAGCCAGAAGGACTGCCTCCGCACGTCACCCCCCAGCTCTAGAACCCAAGGCAGAGGGGCTCGGTGGAGGTGAGAAGGGAAGGGTCTTGCGGTGGGGAAGAGGTTGTCCTGGCCACCCCAGCGAGGCCAGTGTCAGCTTCAGGGTCCTTTTCAGGAGAGGCAGAGGAGGGACGGGAATCGGGCCACAGCTGAGGAGGCCGGACAGGCGGGGAACGCGGCCTCTGGCAGCCTTCCTGCCTCCCCACAGCCTCCAGGATGAGCTGGCCCTGCTCACTCACAGGGGCTTCCGACCTCCAGAGCCACAGGCCTTGAGTGTGCAGTTTAATCCCTGCTTCTCTGGTGACTGACCTTGACAATGGGAAGCTGTGTGTGTTTGTAAAGGAGACACCGGGTACCTGTGCAGGGCTGGGAAAGGTGACGTATCTATGGTCCTGCAGTGGTGGCCCAGGAAGCCACTGAGTTCCCAGGCACAGTCCCTGGGGATGTGGACGTGTCCCATCAAGGGCAGCTGAGGGCCTGTGGAGCCTTCTGGGGATGGCACCAGGACACTCCCTGCAGAGCCTCCTCTCAGGCCTGCAGGGTGGATGTGGCTCCTCACTGCCATCACCCCTCCTACCTGCCTGTCAGGGTTTGGTGAACCAGATGAGGACCTCCAGCAAGCAGTGGCTGCCAGGTGTCCCCTCCTTAGCCTCTGGGCCTCAGGACCCTGAAGGAAGAGGAAGGCTCAAATTGTTTCTTTCTGCCTTGACCATCAGTGGGTCCTAGAAACCATGTGCCTAAGTTGGGCTGTGTGAGTCAATTCTGTGTGGACCTTTCAGTTTAAGACCAAAACGAGAGGAAGACATTTGGGGAGTTGACAACAGCTTCCAGAAGTCAGAAAGGAATCCGAGGCCATGAGCTGTGGCAGGAGGATAGGTTAGAACCAGTTTAAAACAGTATTGGCTGAGTGGGCGCAGGGGCACACATCTGTAACCCAGGAAATTGGGAAGCCCAGGCAGGAGGATCAAAGGTTTGAGGCTAGCCTCGGCAACTCAGCAAGGCCCTAAGCAACTTAGCAAGATACAGTCTCAAAAAATAAAAAGGGTTGGGGTTGTGGCTCAGTGGTTAAGCACACCTGGGTTCAATTCACAGTACCAAAAAATAACCATAATAACAATAGTAATAACACTACTCCCAGATGAGGAGTAATTAATTCTACCCACAAAGGGCAGCTGGGCCTCTTGTGCTTTGAACATAGACATCAACCAGAATCTCATCCCTTAGGTGTAGGACAGGGTGAAGGGAACAAGATGAATGACTGCAGCAAGAACATTCTAGAAGCTTTTAGTGGGATTTGTTTTCACCAGCCCTGTAGCCACAGCAGCTCTGCAGTGCAGCGGGTCTGGCCGTCCAGGCAGAGGCCAGCCAGGTCCTCCCGAGGCCCTGCCCTGAGAGTGAAGGGAAAGTCCGTGGTTATGTGTGTGAGCGCAGTTGCAGTCGGGCTGCTGGTTGCTGAGAGAGACTTGGTTAGCTCAGGTGGTGACGGGTTTGAATGACCTTCAGGAGAGTCCATGAAGAACACAGAAGGGAACACAGACCGGACCCGTGGAGTTGGAGCGTCACAGGGGGAAGGCCCCTCACACCCCTCTTTGCCCTGTAGGGTGCTAAGTACGGCCCAGTCGGCAGGCAGCCGAAGAAGTCAGGAATCGCCAGAGTCACCTTCGACCTGTACAAGCTGAACCCCAAGGACTTCCTGGGCTGCCTCAACGTGAAGGCCACCATGTATGAGATGTACTCTGTGTCCTATGACATCCGCTGCACAGGACTCAAAGCCACGCTGAGGTAGGACGGGTTGATGGGGTCGACCTCGGGAGTCTGCACAGACCTGGGATCCCTGGGGGCCCATCCTTGCCTGCCTCTCTGTGCTCTGCCTGCTGGCCCTCTGCTGTCCCAGGTGTCCCCCAGCCTGCTCCTCTGTGCTCTGTCCTGCTGGCCCTCTGCTGTCCCAGGTGCTCCCCTGCCCTCGGTCCATTTGGAGCACATTTACATCCAAGCCAGACTTGCTTCACAAAACACAAAATCAATCCAGAACAGATTTTTCTCCCTCCAAAGACCATTAACCCACATGCCCCATCATCTTATATGGGGGACACCTGGAAATCTATAGAATTTTGTAGAACACCTACAATGCCACTGTTCCTGTTGCTTTTGCACCTGAGACAAGGCGGCTCATCCTCAGGGAGCCCCTGACGGGGAGGCTGCTCACTGCCTGGTGACTGGGAAGTAACGACTGGGAGAGGTGCCCTGAGGGGCACTCCAGTGACCTCACCTCCTCCACCCTGCCTCCCATGGGTTCCTCAATAGCATCGTGGGGGAATCATGCCTTTAGCATGTGGGCTTCAGGGGACCCTCATCCAAACTGTATTGTGTGTGTTCAGAGGGAGCCTCAGAGTGGGTCCTGGAATGAGAGGGACATCTACAATACCTCCTGAGTAAGCAGCTTTGTGACTTTTCACAGGTTACTTAACTTCTCTGAGCTTCCACCTCATCATCTTTAAAATGAGAAGTTCTTTAGGATCACACAGGCTCAAGTGCAGCCACCTGTGCTTTTGTAGAAATACACCATGATCTCGTGAAAAACTGAGTCCTGGCCAGGTGCTGAAGCCTGTCATCCCAGTGACTGGAGAGGCTGAGGCAGGAGGATCACGCGTTCAAGGCCAGCCTTTGCAACTTAGTGAGGCCCTATCTAAAAAATAAAATATTAAAAGGGCTGGGGATGTGGCTCAGTGGTGGAGCACCCCTGAGCTCAACCCCAGTACCACAGAAGAAAAAGAACAAAGGAAGAAAGAAAATAGAAACCTCCATCACAGCTCAGCCTGTGGAGGGCGAGCCAGGGGAGGCTGAGCAGTGGCTGAAGGTCTGGGGGGTCGGAGTCTCTGCTAGCCTTCCCTGCTCTCTGCACTCCCGGGGCAGGCCTGCTGTGGCCCTCTGAGGACCCAGGTTCCCTCTCTGTGCTGTTGCCGCAGGATGGCTGTGATCTGCCTTGAGCACTGGGCCAGGAGAGGGGCTTGAGACTCCACCTGCTCCCCCCACCCTGGCCCCTGCGCGAGGCTCCCTGTGGCCATAGCCCCTAGAACCATCAGCAGCCGACCCCCAGGCTGTCCCTCAGTAGTGGTGAGATCTTGGCTCCCAGGAGAGATGGGAGCAAGTGGGTGTTTGGATTTTTAGGGTGGGAGAATTACAACAACTCGGAAAACATGATGGAGAAAATGAGCCTCACCCAAACCCCACCTCGAGTGACAAATTCATCTCCTTCTTGCTTTTTTTTTCCCCCTTTTGTAACTGGAGCACTCTACCATTGAGTGACACTTCCAGCCCTTTTTATTTTATTTTGAGACAGTCTCACAAATTTGCTGAGGCTGGCCTTGAACTTGCCATCCTCGTCCTCAGCCTCCTGAGTCACTGGGATCACCGGCGTGGCCACCACATTCTCCTCTATGGTAATTCTTGTCTTCTGATAGCTTTTAGGGCACCACAAGCAGCCACAACTCACCAAAGCCTTCATGTCAGAGGCATCACCTCCCAGGGGTAGTGGGCTCTCCTAGCTCAGGTTTGGGGGACCCATTCCCAGGGGACAGATTCAGCCATGGCCAACCTGCTGCCATTTTGTGAGGTGATTAAAGAATTTTAAAAACTGGGTAAAGTCCTTTCTAGTTTGGGACCAGGCAGAGAATAGGAACTCCACTTATGTTTTTTCTTTCCTTCTTTCTCTCTTTCTCTTTCTCTCTTTCTCTCTCTCCTTCCTTCCTTCCTTCCTTCCTTCCTTCCTTCCTTCCTTCCCTCCCTCCCTCCCTTAGAAGCCAGGGCAGGGCCATGTCTGTCCTCCCAGTAGCTATGGGACAGCCTGTATAGATGAGTTGTGGCAGGTCCTAGCCCACTCAAGCCCACACAAATCCCGTGTCCTGAGGCTCCCTCTTGTCCTTCCTTCCCCTACACCTGACCCGAGGGAGTTCAGCAAGGCCCCACCTCCTCCATGGCTGCTGGGACAGCCCGGGAGCCTGGAAGTGGCCACTGGCCAGCAGTGCTGTTAGGTCCTCAGGGGAGGCCCCACGCCCGACGCGTTGCATCTTGCTTTGTTGCAGGAGTCTTCTGCGGTTCCTGTCCTACACCGCCCAGGTGATGGGACAGTTCCTTGTCTACGCAGGCACTTACATGCTCCGAGTCCTGGGAGACACAGAAGAGCAGCCTTCTCCTAAGTCACCCACCAGGGGCTGGTTCATGAACAGATAGACATGGCCGCTGGGGCCCGGCCAGCCTCTGGACCCAAACATGCCCTTCCAATGACAAACTTTCCAAGATGCTCTTGTGTTATTTGCCACATGTGCCTGTGCTGCTGGCCACTGCTGCTTGGGAGTGACACAGGGAAAGGGAAAGCTCAACACACCTGGTCTGGGGTGTGCAGCAGGACACCCTGGATGGAGGAGGCGAGAGGGGCCCCGTGGCCCAGGAAGGGACCAGGGGGGTGTCTGGGAGCACGTGTGTGCAGCAGACCCCTGGGGGCTCGCCTGCTGCAGTAAACCCATCACACACAGACATTCAGTATGTGGAGTGGTTACTAAAAGTCCCCGGGGGAGTGAACGGCCAGGGCCTCAGGCAGAGGGGCTGCTCTTAGTCTCTGGATACGAGGTGCTAGGAGTTGTCAGATGTGTGGGGTTGGGGTTTGTCTTTTTCCTTAGAGGTGGGTCTTCAGTGAGCCCCGGCAGTTGGGGGAGGGGGTTCAAAGCTTGAGGCTCTGACTGGAGGCCTTTAAGCAGCACTTCCAGAAACAAAGGAAACTCAGAAACAAACAAAACTGCTGGACACCTACCCTGGGTGCCTGGCGCTGTGCTGTTCCGGGGCAGGACACTTGGTGGCCAGGCAACGCTCTGCCTCGTGTTGCCCAGGGCCAGGGAGCAACACAGCTGGACATAGGCACTGGAGGACCTTGTGGGGATCAGCTCTCCCTCCCCTGGTCCCTCTTTCCTTCCGGTTGGCTCCATCTTCTGGTGCACTTTCCTCCGTGGAAGCTGGATGTCGATGGGGCCCTGCCCAGGAAGCTCCAGGCTGCACCTCACCCCACCTGGCAATCCTAGCAGAAGGAAATGGGGTGCTATTCTTGGAAAAAAGGGTCACAGATCCCTGGAGACAAATCTATGCCTATTAAGGTTTGTGGAGTTGGGTGCAAAGGTGCATGCCTGTACTCCCAGGTGCTTGGGAGGCCGAAGCAGAAGGATCGCAAGTTCAAGGCTTCCTGGGCCACTTAGTGAACCCTTGTCTCAAAATAAAAACTAAAAAGGGCTGGGGTATAGCTCAGTGCAGAGCACCTCTGGGTTAGATTTGTGAGGGGGAGATCTGTGACTTTCCTATAAAGAAAAGTCCCAAGGCCATTTTCCTTTCCTGGCTGCCAGCTCTGGCACAATGAACACCACCAAAGGTGCCTGAAACCCAAGAAGCAAAGATCCCCATCCCCACCATCCCTGCTGCCCAGACTTCCTGCCTCCCGCCCCCTGCACCTGCACTGTGTCCTTGGAGAAGCAGCCAGGAACCCACAGGGGGGTCCAGGGGGCTTCCTCCTCATCCTCCTGGAGGGGCAGCCCAGCCCCCACTTCCTGTGTCCTGCTGGAGGCCGTGGGAGGGCAGGTGTTGCAGATGCAATCCCTGTGCTGTCCCCTTTCAAACCTATAAAGAGCAGCTCATTGAGCCTCCCTAGGTGGCCCTGTGATGTCCCTGAGCAGAGACAGGAGCCCCTGCCTGTGTGTGACGGGGAGTTGAGGAGGAGGGCTTTCTGCCCTGCCCCTCCGGCTCTCGCTGGCGTCACTTCCCAAAGATTCCGTCCTCCTGAGAAGTGACTGCCTGCTTTCCAAAAAAGGAGCTTTCCTCCAGTGCCTGATCCTGAGCCAGCCCCGCTCCTCTGACCTGGGCCTTCCTGTTCCTCCCAGAGTCCCCACAGCGGGGAAGCCAGGGGCTGGGTGAAGGCAGGAGAGAAGGAGCTGGGGGATCTGGGGACCCTTGTGCTGCTGGGGCTTCTGAGGAGCCACAGCCTGCCTTCCTCTGGCTGCAGAGGCTGTGGTTTCCTGGGATGACCCAGATGAGCCACAGAGGCTGCAGACCAGAGGGGAAGCTGGAGGCCTCCAGGCATGTCCCCACCATGTGATCAGCAGGACAGATTCAAGGAGCTTTCTGCCTGAGCAGAGCACACCAGGGAGGCAGAGTGAACTGGTCTAGAAGCTGTCACCTGGTCAAAGCCAGGCTCTGGAGCAAATGGCCCTGCTGCAGAGTGTGGTCCCTGCCCAAGTCTCTCTCAGGTCTGTACAACTAGGGTGAGATCAGAGGACCCAGAGTGCTGGATACAGAACGGTAGAGTATGAGTGTGGCCCCTGGCCAGCCGAGCCCTCTTGGTCAACCCGGTTCTGTGCTTTACTGGCCCTACAGGAGGCGTCTGTCCCCACCAGGCCACCTCAGGGACACCCTATGGCCTTTCCAGACCCAGGATCCCAGAGCTGGGATTCTGTTTCCTGTAAGTTCTTCCTCCTCACGCAGCCAGACCTGTCCTCTCTTCCCTCCAGAGCTGCCGCTGTAGGGGTCCGGCCTGGCCCTGGGGACACTGGTCCTCCGTGTGAGCTCTCCCAGGGTCCAGCACACCTGGAATCTGCTTGCACTGTGGGGGCTGTACCCACGCAGGGGCCTCCCATCTGGCTCTGCTCATCTCGTGTCACTAAACTGCACGGAGAGAAAACTCTGGCAGCATCCCTCTCCTTTCTGTCACCCCCTCTGGGACCCCCCTTGCCTGCCAGTTCCCTTCAGCTCTTTGCGCTGGTTCTGTCTTTGGAACCACCCTCAGATGCACACATGCACACACCCTGGGACCAGGAAGACAGTGCTCAGTGTCCCTCCCTCCTAAGGCCCTCCAGCTTATGCAGCCAAGTTGAGCCTCAGTCCCTGCGCTGTGGTAATGTGTGCAGGACAGTCGAGGTCCAGCTGCAGGTCTGATTGGCAGGGCACAGCTTTACATGCCAGGTTCTCTGCACTGAGTGGTCTCCCTGCCTCACACCCTGGGACCTCTCAGGCCAGCATTCTGGGGGCTCAAGTACAGAGGCTCTGGGGGACACTGTTTGACCCTCAGGACTCCCCTTTGTACCCCTGACCATGTGCTTTGGAGGCCAGTCTGTGAGGGTCCCTGCCACATCCTCCTCACCCCACGGGGTCAGAGTCAGGTCCTCCCTGTTCTGCCAGAGGGACACATCCAGGCACAAGGCCCTGTGCTATTGATATGATAAGAAATGCATATCTGATCTCTGCCCTGTCCTGACCCAGAGCTCCTGACCCTTATGGGCAGTGGCTCTAGGAGGATCTTTTGCACTGGTGTTTGGCTTTGGCCTAGGCTCCTGACACAGCTTGGGCTTCCCTGAGTGATAGGAACATCTTCTGTTCTAGAGGGGATGCTAAGTGGCTCTGTGACAGCCTCAGGGTGGGGCTCAGCCCACCATCTGATGAGAGGGTTGGGGTGCTTAGCCCTGCCCCCAGCCCCAGGAAGAGGAGGGGGCTGAAGGGTGAGTTCACCCCTCTGGCCAGTGAGGGATAAACCAGGCCTAAGTAGAGAAGCCCCCCAAACCCCAGAAGCACAGGGCCTGGTGGCACCTAGGCTGGCTCCTAGCTTGGCTACTTGTGAGCTGTGCTGCCCTGGATGTGGGCATGGCTGTGTCCCTGTAGCACAGCGACTTTAACTCTTCAGGATAAAACAGAGCAGCATAGGCTGGCCGTGTCCTCTTCCTTCCATGTTTGTCCTCTCCTGCCCCAGCCTATTAGACAGTACCACCCACATCCAGAGCAGGTCTCCCCACTCAGTTTTCTGTCCCACATGCCTATCGCCTCTGGAAACACCCTACGCACACCCCAGAAGTGTGTGGCACTAACTTTCTGGGCAGCTCTCAGTCCAACGAGTCAACAATCAAGAGTCACCATCACACATGCCTAGGCATAGTATTCAGGTTTTGTTTTTGTTTTTTGTTTTTGGCCACTGGGGATTGAACCCAGGGGTGCTTAACCACTGAGCCACATCCCCAGCCCTTTTTGTATTTTATTTAGAGACACGACCTCAGTGAGTTGTTTAGAGCCTCACTAATTTGCTGAGGCTGGCTTTGAACTTATGATCCTTCTGCCTCAGTCTCTAGAGCCACTGGGATCACAGGCCTGTGCCTCCATGCCCAGAGGCTCAATATTTAATCAAACATCAGCATCAGTGTGGCTGAGAAGGTGTCCTTTGGATGTGATTAACACCTAGTCAGTGGACTCTGAGTGAAGTAGGTGGCTCTCCAGGGTACGGCTGGGTCTCATCCAATCAACTGAAGGTCTTAAGAGAGAAGACTCACCTCCCCACAGAGAAATCCCACCAGAAGACAGCCTGCAGGCCTGAGCTGCAGCCTCAGCACTTCCCTGGTCCCCGACCTGCTGGCCAGCCCTGCAGACTTCAGGCTGCAGCTTTCATGTTACAGATGATTTCTTCATGTACCCTCCGTGTGCACCCCTGAGTTCTGCTGGCCGGAGAACCCGTCTGATCCATGCTGTGCCAGGCATGGACATCGAGACGCCTCCACAGTCAGCTGCACCTGAGCTCCCCAGTCTTCAAGGGGAGGTTCCGGGACCCTGCACCCAACCCCGTCTCAGGACCAGGAGCTGACTCTTCCAAAGCCACTCCATCTTTGCTGAGGGGACTCAGGTGCTCCCTCCTCCGGCAGCCCTTCCCAGCTTAGCACCCAGCCAGGGGAGCTGATGGGAACCAGGACACCAGGAAGCCTGGGCTGGCAGCAGGAAGCCTGTGCCCACCACACAGAGGCTGTGGCCTCGCAGTGCCAGCCCTGGGCTATGCTGTAGATTGGCTCTGGACTGTCCCTGAAAGGCAGGAGTCTTGAAGAGTCTTGAAGAAGCTCAGAGGTGGGCTTGTGGAGGGGGACAGGGAGGAGTGGAAACTGTCTGCAGGAGGTGGGGCCAGAGAGAGGACCTCTGCTGGGGTTTGGCCTAGAAGGGTGTCTTGTGCTTGGCACCCCCCCACACACACACCTCACCTTCCTGGCCACCAGGAACAGGAAGGACCCTCCACTCCACGGGCTCCATGCTGAGACCTGCTGCCTCACCACAGGCCCAGAGCAACAGGGCCAAGCAACCACAGACCAAAGCTTCCCAAACCATAAGCCAAGGTAAATCTCCCCCCTTTAAGTGGATTTTCTCAGGTTTTTTTTGTCATAGTGACTGAAAGCTAACTAATACCGCTTCTCGTCATGGTCATGATCCCTCAGAAGGCGACATGGCAAGACCATTAAGGTGGGCTGTCCTTTGAGCCTCATACCAACACTTGTCTCAGGATTATAGTAAGATCTACAAACAAAATAAAAGTCCACAAGTTGCTTCAACTTGTTTCTTTACCTAATTCACCAGGATTCACTCCAAATTGTAATTTGCTTTAGAAAAAAAAAAATCACCTCTCAAAGAATAAAATGTGGCAAGTGAGGGCACTGGGATGTGACCTCAGCAGAGTCAGAGGCTAAGGTGTGCTCAGCAGAGACGCTGAGTAGTCAGGACCCTGGTGGTCTGCAGCTGTCGGCCTGCACACTCAGGAGTGAGCCTTGTAAAGGAAGCTCATTCCACTTGGGTACAGATTTGCTAGTTTTTTTTTTAAAGTCAAATGTCTAGATTCCTGAAACTTCCATTCATTTGAGTAATAGAAAGAAATCCTCTCTATTTCCCAGGTGGCACCTTTAATGCGGGGTCACACTGGCTGCGGCCTCTCACCACCACCGGGCTGCAGCCTTGGTCTTCTTGGCCACATGGGCCAGTGTGCAGAATCCTCTCATGGGACTGAGCACGGGCTCTCCTCTACAGCACCCTGAACAGACCCCACCCCTAAATGGAATGCTCCTTGTGTGACATGTTTTTATCTCCTTGCAGCCCCCGGCACTGTGGGGGGGGGGAATGCTGAAGAGGAGCTCTCCACAGGAGCAAGGGCACACACCCACAGGCTGCCAGGTCCTGCCCACCCTGGATCTGCTAAGGAAGCAGACTGAGCAGGCCCTGAGGCAGACATGAGGGTCATCAGGACAGGCTCTGGGATCTGCCACAGCCTGGCAGCAGTGGAGAAGAACACCCTCTTTCCTGGACTTCAAGAACCATTCTCTGCAGACCGGGCTGTGGCTGTCCCTGGGCCCTCAGCCAGGCCTGTGGAGGGTCACGGTCTAAATTGCCTTATTTAAATTGCCACTGGTCGGATTCCATCTCTTGGGTCCCCTTCTTCCTCCAGGAGAAGTCTTTTCTGCTGTCCTTTAATAAAGCCTCTACTTTCCACTCTGACCTTGCCTCGGCGTGCTTCTCTGGTGTTATTCTTCAACATTGGGGAAGCAAGGACTCGTCACCGGTCAACAGCGGTAACATATTGGAGGTCCCACCAAGATTCTACACCGAGACCACCCATCACTCAAATGGCCCTCCAGCCTATTCTCAATCGGACTTCTATCATGGACCACTCGATAGACCCGATTTTTAAAGGGGGACTCCAAACTGCTTGCCCAACATCGTCCCCTTCCAGCCTGAAGAAGCCAGAACGATCTTCGCCCCCTTTCCTTACAGCAGTAAAAAGTTCCCAAAATTAGAGGGGGGAATGAAGCCAGATTTAAAGTTAGGTTGTCAGTGTAGGTAGGTAAATCAGGTCTAATATTGAGTAAGATCCAAAATGGAGGCCATGTTAAGAAGGAATTCTGGGAAAAGCAGAACAACTCTTGGAATTTAATGAATTCCCAGAAAAGCCCAAGGCCCAGAGCCCATCCCAAAGAAATGTTAATGAAGATTACTTCTTTGCCCCACCTGTGCCCCACCTTTCGGGCCTTCCCACCTACATTCCATCACTGAAAGAACTATAAAAAGGGGAAACAACTGCACTTCCACAGATTCCATCTCTTGGTCCCCTTCTTCCTCCCGAGAAGTCTTTTCTGCTGTCCTTTAATAAAGCCTCTACTTTCCACTCTGAAAAATAAATAAATAAATAGCCACTGGATAATGCAACAAAATATGTAAATCTGAAATTTCTCAGAAACGTGTTACTTACTACCAGA